AATTGTCTGATATGGTGTCGTGCCCGTAGTCAATGGAACTTGGCCAACTGTAGAAGGATCAATTGGTCTGACGAGTGTCGAATGCTGCTACGAACTGTTGATGGTCGAATACGTGTTTGGAGGCAACGTAACACTCTTCCTTGGCCGGCCTGTAGTCAGGATCTTAATCCGATTGAGCATCTCTGGGACATTCTTGGCCGGAAAATTAGACATCGTGATCTCCCAGTTCAAAATCTCGTTGGACTTGAAGCCGCACTTCATGGAAAATGTATCCGTTTGCCTCAGAGAAGCATTCAACGACTGGTAATGAGTATGAGGCGTAGGGTTGAAGCTGTTGTGTCCGTGGATTATACACACGTTACTGACGTTTCTGTCTTGCAGTAGACTCTGCACTCCCTGGGGTGTCTATGTGACACCTGATATGGTCTGCTGATATCATGACAGTTACATGACAAAAAAGATTTTCAATGTTTTCTAATCCTTCAATTTCTGGTCTTCGGTAAAATTCCAATCTGCTCATATTCTTTTGGAACACAAGATAAACTTGCTTTGGGACAACTTTTGCATCACATGAGGTTTATATATACACAAATATACACAAATATAGCTCACAAATATGGTGGGTGGCGCTTAACTTTTGTGCATGTGTATACAAATAATTTGTTTGCGATTTTTAGGCTGTCTAGAGCTGCGTATAAGGTTACGCTAAGATAAACATTTTTCCGTGGCTTTATTTTGCTGTAAAATGGGAAGATTAGCTTTTATAAAGGGCATAACTTTACAGTTAATAGGATTGTACGTACACACAAATGGAGAATGTCAGTGTCTGTATCTGTTTTCATCAATGTTTTGTGGAATTGTCATTGCTTTCTTTACAGTGTCTTCAACCACTCCACATGGATATCCTTGTTGTTGGAGATATGTCATTGATTCTTCAAGTCCTCGGTGTCTAGATCACAGGGTATACTAGGATATACACGTTTCACGTAAACGGCAACTGGAGCAGCAACCTTTGTTATGACTTCCGGAAGGCGACTTAAAACGCCTATATCATCTCCAACAAAACTTGGAACTTTCTTCATGATAGATTTCAGAATTATATCGCTCAAACGTTGCGTAGGCGATTGGGGCCTCCAACAATAAGTCTAACTGGTCTTTTGGGTTCTTTATTTCCACATATTCACAGTTCTGTTCCTTTACTGCTGAGTTTATCTCCTTACTTTTGTGTATTTTGGGCAGTCCATAAAAGTTTGCAATCTGAGTATTGTAATTACTTATAAACCTCAAGTGACGTCTTCCTACTGTTCTCCAGTCGGGTTACATCTCATAACCAGGGATCTTGTAAAGTCCCTGGGATTTGATATTATATTCCCAGATTTTATAGGATACTCTAGGCTTATTTGCTATATGATGTGTTATTTTATTAATACACATTCCGTTAAGATTGTAAATGAAATGCGAAATCAAATGACAAATGTTTCCTATCTTTTGCCCGAGGATCGAACACGCAATCTTTGTATCGATAGCCCGATACATAGGCGCTGATAAATCGCAGTGCTTTTTAGAATTATGTCTTTTTCAAGAACCGTACGCCAGCAACAGATATTTTACGCCCGTTTCCTTAAGATTCATGGAAAGTACATTGGACACACAAAAATGTTGCCAAATGTTAGATAAAACACTTCCCCTCGTGTTTTTCTGATATTTAAAACCCTTATCCTTGGGATAAACCGAGGAGCGTCAAATATATGGTTTTAAGTATCATTAAAACCCTCGGACGTGCCCTTTCCAACACATAAATAACCTTGTTCCTTTTCATGGAGCTGATTAGAATGATGTTTATGTGCTTTTTGATTTTCTGTGCAACAGCATGTTCTTGGTCGTTAGTTTCCCGATAGAATTCCCGGTCATGTAACAATTCATTCCCTATAGTTTCATAGAATGCAGAATCCATAATGAAATCTGTGACACCACTTCTTATCCCATATACGGATTATAAACCTGTAATCAGATCTTACATCCGTGATCTGATGCAAAAGAAGTGGGACACCCAGGTAGGTATAAATAAATTAGAGGAAATTAAACCAAATATCGGTTGGGCTGTCAGTCCAGATTCGGCCATTCGAGATATACGCATGAGCATTTATTAAAATGTGAGGATCCTCCGTTTTGTATCCCTTGTGATGAAAGTATCACGGTCAGTGAGTGAGTGAGTTTATGCTTTACGTCACATCGGCAGTATTTCAGCCTTATCGTGACGAGAAGTTATACAGTATTTATCCATATATTTAAACCAAATAAGAACCTGTCAGCGATGGACAGTAAAATTACTAGAATTTCACAGATTTAACGTTTAAAACTAGCATACAGCAATAAAATGATATCATTAAATAGTCATGAAACATTACAATATAAAAAGGCAAGTCCTGCTTGACTATTGATTTTTCTATCACAAGGGATAAATATTTCAGTGTTAAAACAATTAACGACCTTTTTAATGTTGTTAATTCTCATTTAATATTATGTTTTTTAAAAGAAATTGAACTTACCCATAAATTTTGATATATTTAGTGTATTATTTTATAAATTGGTAGTACTTATCTATAACCGAGATTGTTACCAGACTTTTAAATCGTAGTATATTTGTTAGTTTTATTCAATGGCTAAACTTGCATATAATCGCCAGCGACTGAAGGGATGGTGTAAATCCTGCCGGGGTCCATGCAGGAAGCAAAGGTACTGTGAGTCCCCATGGTCCCTGGTGTGGTGATCTCCCTTTAGTTACTGACGATCTCTAGCCCATTTTTATATTGTGTTGTTCCTTAATACTTAATGCTTTTAAATGTTCCGCAACTAGTTTTAAATCTTATCTGTGATGTTCTAGTTCTCATACTGTCCTTCGATGACAGATTTTTATAAAGTTTAAATATATGTATATTTCATGTCAAACTTCTCGTCACGATATGGCTGAAATATTGCCGATGTGACGTAAAGCATTACCTCACTCACTCACTCACACTACCCTCGAGGGGGGTTGAAGTAGCGTAAAATTATTGTCCTCCTAAGAGGGTATGTAAGTCCCATATCATTCGAGGTATTGTTCTGCATGCCAGGCTTTTAAACATAGTATATTCGTTATTTTAATCTAAGGCTTAACTGGTTCACTGTCGACAGTGACTGAAGGGATGATATAAATCCAGCTGGGGTCCATGCAGGTAGGAAAGGTACTGTAAGTCCCCATGGTCCCCAGTATGGTGATCTTCCTTCAGTGGCTGACGATTTCTAGCCTATTTTTATGTTGTGTTGTTCATTTATGCTTACTGCTTTTTTAATATTCTCAACTAGTTTTAAATCAAGTCTGTGATATTCTAGTTATTATACTGTCCTTCGTTGACAGCTTTTTATTTAGTCTAAATATATGTATCATAAATGTATCATCAATGTATAACTTCTCGTCACGATATGGCTGAAATACTGCCGATGTGACGTTAAATAATAACTCATTCACTCCATCACATCCGAGCGTCCACCCGGAGAGCGTTAACGTCGGGGGTTCGATCCCCGGACGCGCCATGCCATAAGACGTTAAAAGATGGTACTTGTTGTTACCCTGCCTGACGCTATGTATTTAGGGGGTAAAACAAGGACTGGTCGGCCGGGAGTCAGTATACTGTGTCTGAGTGGGGTATTCATGGATTATTTAGAGGCCATCATCATACAGTTAGAATCGTGTTGAGTGCGGCGTTAAAACAATCAACAACAAAACGCAATCACAGAATGTTTCATTTTTATCTATCATAGTGACAAAACAACCAAACTTTCATAATTTTCAAACTTATTTGTGTATCTCACTATATCCTAAAATTCTCTACAAAGTCAATAGAACGTTACAATTTAAACAATAACAAATATAAGAATGCTGTGATACTGCAAAAAATGAGCGTTGTCATGGTTACAATTAATAAGCACACTTCTTGTCTCCGGTTAGCTGTGGAACAGTGTCATCGGCTCTATCTGAATCAATGGCTGTATTTAAATTAATAATGCGTTTTCATAATGTCTCATAATTTGTGACATCAGTAGGTTTGGTTCTATATATATATATCTAGTTAAACATGCATATATTGATATACGTCAGCTATGGATGGTGTTCTGATAGATACTATGCCAATATAATGTATGCACGATCATGAACTGTTGCCGCATTTCGATTGTACATATTTAAAATATTGGTATGTAATCAGGTATGTTTGTTTGTTTGTTGTTTAAATCCGCACTCAGCAACATTCCAGCTATATGACGGCGGTCTGTAAATAATCGAGTCGCCTTTTATTGCACGCATGGGTTGCTGAAGACCTATTCTAACCCGGATCATCACAGGTCCGTTGCTCATTACATCAATCACTGGCCTAGACTCGATAATTTAAGGCCGCCGTTCTATTATTCCCGAGTGCGGCGTTTAACAACAAACACGAAAGATAGCATTATGCGACCTGTATTGGGCCAGGAATGTACTGGTCATTTGTTGGAATAGTGATGGAAGGTACACAAAAATAAGGCAGATGATTAAAGATTAAGTTCATAAGATTCAAAGGTTTACTCATAATTTAGTATATTATTCACGATGATATGACGGTAAATAATTCGTTTTCATCGCTTCTAATGTGGACAATCTGATCCCCGATCCCGTTAGTCGCCTCTTCCGACAAGCATGGGTTGCTGAAGACCATTTCTACCCCGGATCTTTGCGGGCTTATCGATCTACGCAATTGGGATACGAACTGTCAAAACTTTCCAATATTTCGCCCAAGAGAATCTGTTTCGGCAGAAAAAAGAAACCGATTTGTTTTTGACGTTGTCGTTCTATGTTATCTTGTGCTACCTAGCACTTGCTCGGACTCATACACATAGTTGTGGCACGGTGTGAAACTGTATGCACGACGTAGTTTAAAGAACTGCGAGTCTTGCTGTCATTAAGAGTTGTGCATTAAATAATTCAAGTAATTCAAGTAACATTTAAATAATGAAGGTATTTAAATAAATAAAAAAACCCGACAGCGTTCAAATGGCACACAGGCATTTGTTGAGACTGTCTAGACTTACAATACCACCAATAGACCAAAATCACCATTTCAGTTGGAAAACAAGTGGTGAAACCTATTTCTGCAGATTTGGTATAATTTTTGAATTTTCAGTTAAATGTCCAGTATTGTTGGGCCACTGCTTGGCCCAAACCACCTTCTCTTACGACGCTGAGATCGAAAATAGTCCTATTCTAACTACATCTGTCAAGAAAATGATCTTGAGTCCCTGTCAGGTATTTCTGAACTAAGCGTGTCAAGGTGAATATCCGAGATGGCTCGGTTCTCGTGAATCTTCAACTCATCCCGCAGGTCTTTTATGGTCTCTTCGTGCTGAAAGCAACAAGAATACCATGTACTGAAAGTGATTGTTTGTTTGTTGCTGAACGCCGCATTCATCAATTTTCCAGCTATATGACGACGGTCTGTAAATAGTCGACCAGACAATCCAGTGGTTGATATCATAAGCTTTTTGGTTTGTTTTGATGTTTTACGCCGCACTCAGCAATATTCAAGCTATATGACGGCGGTCTGTATGTGAGCAAAACCATCTGTGTTACGTCAAAGAATATATATACAAGACAAATCATATTAATAGGGAAATATAATATGAATCGACATATCGGTATTTTTTCTTTATGGTTGCGGTAGTTTTACTTGGGATAACTCGGTGTACTTCATTGTGTTCAGAATTTCAGAATTGCATTTTTATGTAATTTCTTGTCCTCAACTTATGGCTAGTGTATTCCGTTATCTCGAAAGCGGCAGTTGGTGATGAAATGTGCACCTTCATGTCATGTGTGAGATTGTGAAATAGTTTGGTTGGTTGGTTTGTTGTGTTACGCCGCACTCCAGCAATATTCCAGCTATATGACGGCGGTCTGTAAATAATCGAGTCTGGACCACGCAATTGGGATCGATGACATGCATCAACCAAGTCAGCGAGTCTGACCACCCGATCCCGTTAGTCGCCTTTTACGTCAAGCATGGGTTGCTGAAGATCTATTCTACCCGGATCTTCACGGGTCGATATCATAAGCATCGATCCATGCGATGATAGCATCTACTTAGTCGTTGGTTTGTGTTTGTTTAGCTCCGCACTCAGCAATATTCCAGCTATTTGACGGCGGTCTGTAAATAATCGAGTCTGGACCAGACAATCCTGTGATTGACATCATGAACATGGATCGATGACGTGCATCAACCAAGTCAGCGAGCCTGACCACCCGATCCGGTTAGTCGCCGTAAATGACAAGCGCATGGGTTGCTGAAGACCTATTCTACCCCGGATCTTCAGCAAGTCAGTAAGCCCGACCACCCAATCCCGTTGGGCGCCTCTTTCGACTTACCGCCCTCGTGGTCAAGTTTTGTTTTGTTATGTTTGTTGTTTAAAAAAAACGCCGCACTCAGCACTATTCCAGCTATATGACGGCGGTCTGTAAATAATCGAGTATGGACCAGACAATCCAGTGATTGATATCATGAGCATCGATTCAGGCAATTGGGATAAATCTACGATGACATGCATCAACCAAGTCAGCGAGCCTGACCATCCGATCCCATTAGTCACCTCTTACGACAAGGATAGTTGCCTTTTACTCCAAGAATGAGTTGCTGAAGACCTCTTCTGACACGGATCTTCACGGGTCTGACATCATTATATAACAGCGACGATGACATGTTTTTGTTTCTTTTGTATGTTGTTTAACGCCACACTCAGCAATATTCCAGCTATATGACGGCGGTCTGTAAAATAATCGAATCTGGACCAGACAATCCAGTGATTGATATGAGCATCGATGCACGCAATTTGGATCGATGACATGCATCAACAAAGTCAGCGAACCTGACCACCCGATCCCGTTAGTCGCCTCTTACGACAACACGCAGTCGCCTTTTACGGTAAGCATGGGTTGCTGAAGACCTATTCTAGCCCGGATCTTCACGGGCTTAATGGTAGGGTCAGGCTTGGAGACATTGTTAGGAAGAGAATATTTAACGGTTAGAACACCAAGCATATCCAACAAAACATGAAGATCCGGGGTAGAATTGATCTTCAGCAACCCATGCTTGCCGTAAAAAGCGACTATAAACGGGTTCGGATGGTCAGGCATGCTGATTTGGTTGATGCATGTCATCGACCCGTGAGGATTCCGGGGTAGAAAAGGTCTTTAGCAATCCTTGCCGTTAAAAGGTGACTATGCTTGCCGTGAAAGGCGACTAACGGGATCGGGTAGTCAGGCTTGTCTGGCCAAGACTCGATTATTTACGGACCGCTGTCATATAGCTGGAATAGTGCTGAGTGTGGCGTTAAACAACAAACCAACCAACCAATCAACGAAACAATACATGTTTTCGTGAAACCTGAGGCAAAATAATTGTAATGCAATATTTTCTGAAACACAAAACAGAAACAAACGAGTAATGGTAAGTATTCATTTGCAGTCATTCTGGTCACCTAAATTCTTTGACATTGGGCTCTCTAAGGATGTTTTAAGAAATTGTCTAATTTACTCAAGACTATAATCGCGCAAATGGATGCAATCCCAGTGAACATGTTTGCTTTAAGATTACATCTACCGAGTAAAGACACAATTATAATTCGTTTCGTGCACCCGTGAAGATCCGGGTTAGGACTGGTCTTCAGCAACCCATGCTTGCCGTAAGAGGCGACTAACAGGATCGGGTGCTCATGATGTCAATCACTGGATTGTCTGAGCCAGACGCGATTATTCACGTAGACCGCCGTCATTTTGCTGGAATATTGCTGAGCGCGGCTTTAAACAACATACAAGTACAAAAAATATGTGATTCCAACGTTTAAAACTCAAATCGGTGACTCACCCGCCTACGTAATGTCAAATCAATCTGATCCCGAGAGAAGTGCCGTTAAAGATCGATAAGTAAGCAAGAAATATGAGTAACGTCCCTGACAAAAAGAGGCATCTCTTGCATCCTTATCTTCCAAAGAAAGCGTTTTTTGCAATTCTTGGGTAAAGTAAAAATGTGTTGCTTCCTCTGTACTGTCATCGTGACAGACATTCCTCCTCCTCCTCAAAGGAGAAGATGCAAAAACACAAATTAATTCACCCATTGATTGACAATAGGCCCACGAGGTGATAGACAGATATATTCTTTTGAAGTATGCGTAAAATACCTTCCTTTGCTGTCAATTGGTCTCTTTCTGTTTAACAATTGGTTCTTTTTGCACTTTTGTTTTGTTTGTTTGTTTGTTATTTAACGCCACACTCAGCAATATTCAGGCTATATGAGGCGGTCTGCAAATAATCGAGTCTGGACCAGATAATTCAGTGATTGACATCATGCGCATATCCTTTGCAAATGGGATATTATTGCATGCGTCAAACTAAGTCAGTGAGCCTTTCCAGCCAATCACGTTAGTCAAGACAAAATCTAAGCCGGGACATATTTGCTCAGGATATAATACGTATATATTAAGGAAGTCGCGATAAGTAGCCGTCATATAGCTGGAATATTGCTGAGTGCGGCGTTAAACACCAAACTAACCACCGTGATTAACAGATGGCATGTAGGCATTAGACGGCATATATACTGTTTAAAACGAATTCTCTTTCATTTCGTTTTAGTTAAAGGAAGCCATGGCGCAATACCAAAGACCGGAAGACCACAAAGTGACACGTGACCTAAAAACGCCACACTGGAACTCCCTATTTGCACACGACGCATTTGCTAGGTGTTTGTAAACACCGTCCCTAACTGCATGAACCTGCGGATAAAAAACTTATAGCATGACAATGTAAGCTTCATTGTGGATTAAAAGGTAATTGTAAGGTGCGATTGACGGCTACCTTTAATATTATTTTTGTATGCCCAAAACGTACCGCTTTTAATAATGTTTCTAGTCTGCCAATCTTGCCCTCCAGAGCATGGACGTGGATGTGAGGCTGGCTGGCCCGTCTGTGCGTGTAGGTGCAGTTCATGCGATCACTGGAGCCGTCCAACTCCAACTGAGCTTTCTTATAACGGATTATCTGCAAAATATACAACTACTGTTACACGACTATTTCTGGGCCCAGTGCCACACATCGATACTAGAGCTGCAAAGAGCGGAAGTTCCCTATGCGAGGCATCTCATCTTAAGTTACTCGAAATAAATTGGTCTGTATGATCAATTTTAAATATGAATGTGCATAATTAAATGCTTGTTAAATTTGGTGTGATGCTATTATCAACTGATATAATTGAAGGCTCTGTCCCGGGGGTTAAAGTATCGTAAAATTATTTCCCCCCAGTGTGACACGTAATCCTAGCATAATCGATGTAACTATCATTAACCAGTGTTTTGAAGCCAGCTCATTGCTGAGTATTTTTTAATATTGGCTAGTATTATGCACAAACACCAGTAGCTAAATTCGTGGCGTAATTCCCGCTGGGGTATCATGCAGGAAGCAGAGGTACTGTAAGTCCCCATGACCCCAGCGAGGTGGCCTAGCTTTGGTTACTGCTGGCCTATAGTCCGTGTTTTAAAACTGTTTACATGATACTATTATGCACAAATCTTCACGGGACCGAAGTGATGCAGGCCTCAGACGTGAGGTGAAACCCTGAAGCACGGGTTAACAACCCTAGAAACATAATTGGGGTGAACCGGAATTCGAACCCACGATCATAGGTTTTGGCGTGCCCAAGGGACGCAACTCTCCACAGCAAATTGCGGTGCCTTGGACGACTGGGACAGCCGTGTCCCATATGTGAAATAAATATAAAATGTACGTGACATGCGCGGTACATGCAGTCTATATAGTGACCTACCTTTGGAACAAACAATAAAATGATGTTCATCGTTGTACCAAAGAGTATGAAGCCAGAATGGAGGGCATAGAGGACTTGTACCTGGTTTTCGAGCACAAACGAGAAAACCAATGATATGATACTGAAGACGAATGTATTGTAGATGCACTGGCCGATGTAGCGGGAGTCGTTCAGGTCCTCGATCTGAACCTGAAAGGATAAAATAGATACAACAGGTTGGTTTTGTTGGTTTGTTGTTTAACGCCGCACTCAGCAATATTCCAGATATATGATGGCGGTCTGTAAATAATGGAATCTGGACCAGATAATCTAGTGATTGACGTCATGCACATCGGTCCACGGAGCCTGCAAACCGATGCCCTACGACAAGCAGAGTCGCCTTTTACAGCAAGCATGGTTGCTGAAGACCTATTCTTCCCCGGATCTTCACGGGTCACAACAGGTATGTCTGTTGTGATCCGGGGTAGAATAGGTCTTCAGCAACCGATGCTTGCTGTAAAAGGCTACTCTGCTTGTGAGAAACAGAGTCTTTACCACTTGCAAGACACGTGAAGATCCGGGGTAGACTAGATCTTCAGCAACCCATGCTTGCCATAAAAGGCGACTATGCTTGTCGTAAAAGGCGACTAACGGGATCGGGTGGTCAGGCTCGCGGACTTGTTTGATGCATGTCATCGATTTCAATTGCGTGAATCGATGCTCATGATATTAAACAAAATATTTTCTGGTCGAGACTCGATTATTTACAGACCGCCGTCATATAGCTGGGATATTGCTGAGTGCAGCGTTCAACAACCAACCACCTGCAAAAACCCACCTTGTTTTTTGTCTGCGGGAACAAGATATACAAAGATAACGTCTTTGTTGTGTAACGTCCGACTTAGCAATATGAGCTATATGGTGGATGTCTGTAAATAAGTGAGTCTGGACCAGACAATCCAGTGATGGATATTATGAGCACGATGACAATTAACCAAGTCATTGATCCTGACCACCCGATCCATTTAGTCGATTTTCGACCAGAATAGGTTGTTGGTGACCTATTGTTACCCAGAAGTCCCAAGGGAATCTGCGTTTTATATAGCCAATATACTACTTGGTTGAAATAGTAAAATAATATAGTGTCGTGTTTGTGAAGTACTAAAGAGCAAGGTCACTGAATTGCGTTAATTCAGCAATGAAACAAAATGACGGTTTTGGCACCATTGCGTTTGCGTTAAAGGGTAATGCTCTCTTTATCAAGACTTTACCCAACACGCAAATTCTTTTTAAAGTTACTTTGGCAATAAATATGTTCGAATAAACATCACCTTCCTTTTCGCATCCTACATCATACCGATCCGTGAAGATCCGGGGTAGAATAGGTCTTCAGCAACCCATGCTTGCCGTTAGGTGACTATGCTTGTCTTAAGAAGCGACTGACGGGATCGGTTGTTCAGACTCGCTGACATGGTTGATGCATTTCATCGTATCCCAATTGCGTGGATCGATGCTCTTGATATTAATCGCTCGATTGTCTGGTCAAGACTCGATTACTTACAGACTGCCTTCATATAGCTGGAATTTTGCTGAGTGCGGCGTTAAACAACAAACCATCCAGCCAACATTGTCTCTTAGTGAACACTTGATCACGTGCCACCAGAAAATAAAGCGATATTATCCAGACGCCTGACATGTAACCAGCAGTTGCAAGAAAATGATTGATTGTGCAATGTTGGAAGAGAGACATAGTGATTAAAGATGTTACATGTTTGTGTGTATGCATGTTATTAAAACTTCCAGAGGGAAGTATCTACCATTAGAACACCCTTGCAAAGGTAAAATAACCCACTGTTTCATGATCACGTGTTCCAACCATATCAGTTTTCAAAAACATACAAGTGCAAGCAAGTAATCAATTTTTCCGTGTGTAAAAAGCTTGTCCTCTGTTCAAAGCGCTAAACCCCTAATAATACCGTTGAGGAACTGAGCGTCTTAATTAAATGAGTTGATGAAATATGTTGTGACGCCCTCGCAAACCGCCAGATCACGATCAGAGGGGAATAAGCTTCTTCAGCCTTTAATCATAAAAAATAATTCCGCATAAAATACCTCCAAGATGTCTCCCAATAGCGACGTTAAGGTGAGTACATGACATCTCAGTAACAGATCAGCAATCACACAAACACGCGACCGACAGTTGGGGGTGGTGGAATAGTGTTTGATGGCACTTATATAGTGATGTGCATGGACCATTAACATGGATACCCCACAGCTTTTTTTTATCCCCTTAATAAAATCGCCAGGCTGGAAAACAAGTACCATCATTTAACGTATTTTGGAATGACGCAGACCTTCTATTCTCCGGGCAGACACTATATCTACTAGTCCACGGAGGCGGTCGACGACAGTTGAAACAATCAAAACAGTTGGTGTCCTCCCAAAACTTCTACAGCTTAAAACAACAAAGTTTATGGTCCACTGCAGCACTCATCTCCTGGCTATTACCTGTTGGGCATTGATTGGAACAGTCTAATTAATTAAGTGTACAGCATACAACAAAACAAAACAATTTGAAGACAATGAAGACAATTTACTCATATAGCACTGGTATAAATAAATAGTGCACACACTAATTTAATGTCACAAATGGCCTCACTTTGTCACTTACTGCACTAAAATTACCATATTTCAAGTCTCTTAACCAAGTTTGAGAAGATGACTAACAGCATCAAGGAACTCGATAGGGATTTTCTGTCCTTGAGTCAACATGTCCTTAAGACGTCTCAGGCGATTTTCAGTCTCTCTATAAACTCGCTTCCTGCTGGGTGGGGCGGCACCAAAGTCTAACTGTACGATTTTTGTCCTGTCTGCACACTCAATCTTCTTAACCACTTCTACAAATCGGTAGATATTCGGGTTGCGGTTGGGTAAGGTTCTGTTAAGGCGATGGTGAAATCCCTCAAGATTGTTGTTGGTGCGATGGCCGGCTGTCTGGTGGTGATTCCACAGAGGTTTTGGAAACCGAGCATCATCGTCAACCCAGTTGATGACCATATAGTCATTGAAGTCTTCAGCTCTCGGAACTGGTGGAGTTGCCTGCATAGCATCCAACCAGGTGTCCTGGACATCAAGCAAGGGCAGGAGGGCAAGTCCAGCAGCTCTTCTGATCCATTGTTGTACTGCAGGATCTTCCTTGTACTGTACTGCTAATCCAAGATGCTGTGTCTTCCGCCAGATCGCCTGACAATAATGAAAAAAACAACCTTTGACGTCGGCATTCGGGAGGTCTGTGTTGACGACACGAATGGCAGCCTTCCTAAAATCCGTCTGGACAGTGGCAGGAGCGAGGGGACGGTTGGATCTCTGTTGCACTTCTGTTCTAAGTCGGCTGAACAGTCTGGTGTAAGTTGTGGCCTGTGTCGGTACAAGGCACTGCTCATGGATGGGAACGATGGCAGCAGCTGTGGCTGGTCTTCTGTAGCTACCTCATCGTTGTACAGGGTACGCATCGACGTGGTTTCTTCTCTGGCCCTCTTCCTCATGGTACGATGAATCTTACTCTACTGCTGTCTTCAGGTGGATGAGTGTGATCAGAGACATTTCTGATGAAGTCACCTACAGTGGTGCATCTGCCCTTACAAGTGGAGTCTACGCACTTCCAGTGAATGCATGTCTGTCTGACAACATTCTTGTTATAACGATAGCCATCTAGGAATACTTGCACAGTACCCTTCTGTGACATGACATACTCCACTTTCCTGATACCAGCCATAGTGATAAATTGTCATCGTTGTTGTTGCATTAAGTGTTTAGGAGGTCGCCTTCTGCCTAGGCAATTTCGGCTGACCTGTCCCTCTTTGGGACTCCTGTGTGTGAGTAGGGTACACCTATCTATTGTGAGTTTGGTGTTCACATAATTTCTGTTTTTGTATTGATATGATTTATATTTTCTAAATTGTCATCATGATGGACTCTAGTTATATACTATAGTGTTAATCCACAATAAATGAGTAAACCCAATTTAAGGTTCAAACAACTCTCAGCCCGACAACTTGTAAGTTGCTTTTCCTACATACACATGAAACCTTTTGATCTTAAACAGTGTATAATTGTGATTTCCTAAACCAGTTAATTTCATTGTAAGTGACGGGTCTTTTTATTATAATCTTCTTTATCTCCAAATAAGTTGTTTTCATTAGGTACATCTGTAACTATTTAATCTTCCCAAAGTACCATTCCTTGCCTTTCTTAAACAACATCGTAAAGAAGCTAATGAGTCTTCTTAATTACAGGAGGACTATACCATTATAACAATAGGTAAACTCAATCAGCCATGACAACTCTCTGTAGGTGTTTTGGCATGTAGAAGTTTTGGGAGTGAACCAAACAGTTGATCGCCTACGTACTTCAGTCTGTTCCCCGACAGTTGTTCGCCTACGTACTTCAGTCTGTTCCCCGACAGTTGATCGCCTACGTACTTCAGTTGATCGCCTACGTACTTCAGTCTGTTCCCCGACAGTTGATCGCCTACGTACTTCAGTCTGTTCCCCGACAGTTGATCGCCTACGTACTTCAGTCTGTTCCCCGACAGGGATGTCGTGTCTATAATTTGCACAAAATGTAATCGGGCCAGCTGTCAGTTTGTCCTTTATGTAGAACACATAAACTAACTTATCAACCCTTCTCATACGTGTGTCATAAAATTCACATTTAACGATATGCAACAGCAGACAAAACCGTTATCTGCAGAGTGAGAATAGGAGTTTTTTGAGTGTATGGTTCCCCGTCGCTCTTAGCAATGTTCCAGCAATATCATGGCAGAGGACACCAGAAATGGGCTTCACAAATTGTACCCATGTGGGAAATCGAATCCGTGTCTTCGGCGAACGCCTTAACCACCAGGCTACCCCACCGCCCCTGGAGGTTATATACAATTAAGGTCTGATTACCACAATTATTTCATTTTCATCCAAATGTTTCAATATTTAGAGGCGCGCGGCATTTGACGTCATCTCGCCTTTCAAGACAGCGTGTAAGTAAGCTGGGATTAGGATTGCTGTGAACAGTGTTTGTCATACGGCGTGTGAGCTTAATGCTGGAGAGTCTCAATCCGATCTGATAGCTGACAAAAAAATGACCATCTCCATATTGTTTAGCTTTTTTGTCAGATTGAAACAATTAACCAGCGTTTAAGCTTTGAGTGACGTGAATCAGATTTGCAAGCTTTGATAATTTGGGTGAACTTGGTTTTCTTTCTTAAACGCTGTATAAACTAGAATTGACAAGTTTGGTTCTTTGATATTGTACTTACTTTCCTAGTTTCCCAAGCCAGGAACGTTCCGATGAGGAGCATGACGCCGTGTATGATGTACAGGGCTGCACTGAAGTACTGGTGATAGTCGGAGACACACACGTCCACCTGGTGCTGCAGCAGTATGTCCTCCGCCTCGTTCAGCTGGTTGAAAAAGAGGTTGTTAATGTCATGTTGCTCGCCTATGTGAGTGTGTGACCAACAATTTCACGTCCCATCGGCGTTATATTCGCCATGTAGAGAAGAGGATTACTTTTAATAGGTACAAGCATGTCATATAGATAGATATACGGAGAGAAACGAAAAAGGGATCAATGAAATATATATGAAACAAGCTTTTCTCTCAGTACATTTGAAAAAGCGCGCATACAAATTCAACACATGTCAGAATTAAATGTTGTGGTTGTGGACATTCTTTCCATCGCTTATTTGGTAGAGTGAGTGAGTGAGTTGGGTTTAACGCCGCTTTTAACATTGTTCCAGTTATATCACGGCGCGTCAGCTTAATATGGGAGGAAAGCCCGAAGTGATGCAGGTCACGGGCGTTTACCACTTCGGTGAAACCCACGAGCACGGATTTGGTGCTGAAACATAATCGGGGCCAACCGGGATTCGAACCCACAATCATAGGTTCCTGGCATGCCGAAGGGACGCAACTCTACAAAGCGAATCACGGCGCCTTAGACGACTTGGCCCCCGTATTTGGTAGACAACGCTGGGGACCTTTGATAGCATATCATTTTATTGTGTCTAAAACTAGGTGTTCCCTTATTCATTTCCTCAGTATACATCAAAGCTATTTTCAAAAGAAAATTTGTCAAACTTATTTTATCTTAATACCATTTACAACCTTTTAATACACAGACTATAAGCCATGAGCAATCAAAAACTAGACCACCTAGCTAGGGAACACTGGGACTTAAGGTGTATCAGCTTCTCTGCACGATACCCCAGCAGGATTGACGTCATCACCTTAGCTACTGCTGTTTGTGCACAATACTGGCCAATATTAAAATAATGCTCAACATTGATTTGGCCTGAGACCACTGACTCATGACAGTTGTATCGATTATGCTAGGGATTACGTCAGTCGGTGTCACACGGGGGCACAACATTTTCTTTTGTCCTTGAACCTCCTGGGTAGAGCCTTCAGTAATCTCCGTTGATAAAAAACATCACTCCAATTTTAAACACGAGCAGTTAGTTATTGAAATACACATGTCAAACTTATGATGCAAACAGGCGTACATGTTAATCATTCTGAAACGTTACTGTATTAATGTTGAGACATGATGAAAAAGATGAAGTTGATAGTTTGAAACATTGATTTTTGGCTGGTTGGTTTGTTGTTTAACGCCGCACTCAGCAATCTTTAAGCTCGTTGACGGCGGTCTGTAAATAATCGAGTCTGGACCAGGCAATCCAGTGATTAATATCATGAGCACCGGCCCACGCAATTGGGATCGATGACATGCATGAACCAAGTCAGCGAGCCGATTGAGATTATAGAAATTCGTACATACCTTCGCAGTAAAAGATATTTATTCGTACATGCATTATTTGTTACAGTTGTTAATTATTACATACATTCTTAGTTGAAGGTCTTATTAGATACGGGGCGGTCGGGTAGCCTAGTGGTTAAAGCGTTCGCTCGTCACGCTGACGATCCGGGTTCGATTCCCGACATGGGTACAATGTGTGAAGCCCATTTCTGGTGTCCCCCGCCGTGATATTGCTGGAATATTGCTAAAAGCGGCGTAAAACCATACTCACTCACTCACTTATTAGATACATGTATTCTTTGTTACAGTTGTTAATTCGTACATACATTCTCTGTTAATTCGTACATACATTCTCTGTTAATTCGTACATACATTCTCTGTTAAAGGTCTTATTAATACATGCATTTATAGTTAAAATTCTTATTAAATACATGCTTGCTGTTTAACGCCGCACTCAGCAATATTCCAGTTACATGACCGAGGTCTGTAAAATAATCCAGTCTGGACCAGACAATCCAGTGATTAATATCATGCGAATCAATCCACGCATTTGGGATCGATGACATGCATCAACCAAGTCAGCGAGCCTGATCCCGTTAGTCGCCTCTTACGACAAGCATAGTCGCCTTTTACGGCTAGTATTGGTTACTGAAGATTCGATTATGTACAGGCCGCAATGTTATATCTGGCATATTGCTCACTGCGTCGTAAAGCAAGATCAATCGGACGTCCCAAATCACTTGACATGTTCCTGTTAAAACATTTAATATAAAGATCGATCTCAAACTCAATACTCCCTAATTGGAGGACCTCGTACAAATCAAACTGACAGGTCACAAACATCAACAATGTTTGATGTCAAAAGACGAATGCGTCTCCCGTTAATTCAATCAATATGCAGCAAATTGTCGGAGGTACCTTTAATTTCAGAAACCCAGAACCTCTCATTATTACGATCAAAGGATAATATTCAAGGCTATGAGAACATTGAAGTAGTCTTGTCTCTTGTAGAACCTAATGTTGCAAAACCTCGAAGGGGATATAAAAAGTCCATCTTAATGTTTAGAAACCATAGAAACTGTTCTTAATAGCGAAGCTCTGCGAGTATCATATTTATGATGATAAATGATCAACTTGTTCTGTGGTTCTTTCCAAATGGATAAGCGAGTGGTAGCCTAGGTCGGTAAGCTGTTTTAAAAGAATTTCAGGTAAAGTGAGTGAGTGGGTTGTGTTTAGTGCCGCTTTAAACATTGTACCAGTTATATGACGGCGTGTAAATTTAATGCGAGAGGAAACCTAGAAACATAATCGGGACGAACCGGGATCAATCATAGGTTTCTGGTGTACCAAAGGGACGCAACTCTGCAAAGCAAATTGCGGCGCCTTAGACGACTGTGCGTAGGTAAACAAGGGACTCGCATAGGTATAGGCATTTGCCACAATAGTTTGTTTGTTTGTTGTTTAACGGCACATTCGGCAATATTCCAGCTATGTGGTGGCGGTCTGTAAATAATCGAGTCTGGACCAGACAATCCAGTTATTGACACCATGAGCATCGATCCACGCAATTGGGATCGATGACATGCATCAACCAAGTCAGCGGGCCTGACCACCCGATCCCGTTAGTCGCCTCTTACGACAAGCATATTCGTCTTTTACGGCAAGCATGGGTTGCTCTAGACCTGTTAACATTATTGTTAGATAAATTTGAGATTTGTGAATCCTGCATTTTGGATGAAGAACAATATGTATTTTTGTGTTGTTTCTTACACACCTTCCTCTCATTGCGAAGCTACTAGTTTCCAAGCAATGCCTGTCACCTTGCCGAATATACCACACTGAAAGTGGGACTATGAAGGGAGGGAAAATAGGATTTAACGTTTAACGTCGCGGTCAAGATTAAGGCACTTCTATAGTGGAGGAACGTAGTTTATAATCCCGGTGAAGTATTGACTATAGTCCTGACCCGTGAAGATTCCGGGGTAGAATAGGTCTTCAGCAACCCATGCTTGCCGTAAAAGGTGACTATGCTTGTCGTAAAAGGCGACAAACGGGATCGGGTGGTCAGGCTCGCTGACTTGGTTGATGCATGTCATCGATCCCAATTGCGTGGATCGATGCTCATGATATTAATCACTGGATTGTCTGTTCCAGACTCGATTATTTACAGACCGCCGTCATATAGCAGGAATATTGCTGAGTGCGGCGTTAAACAACAAACGAACAAACAAACATGATGTCAATCACTGGATTGTCTGGTCCAGACTCGATTATTTTACAGACCGCCGTCATATAGATGGAATATTGCTGAGTGCGGCGTTAAACAACAAACAAACAAACAAACAGACTATATTCCTGGGAGTAAGCCGAGTCAGCTGAACTAGTCAAGCTACATGTATGCCGTTAGGGAAGTCAACGTGTCGCAGGTGGAAAATCATTATGCAGGGCCTAATATCATGTAGTTCGTTCCCTTTGTAATTTTTTTTTTTTTTATAAATATGTTTATGTCCTTGTTATCGCAGTTAACAGACGTCCGTGTAACTTGATCCAATACTTTAAGGGAGCGTGTCAAGCGTGTTTTCGTCAGTTTCTGTAAAATCAATGCACTAGTCAGGAACGTAATTAGATTCATTTTCACCTTTGAAACTAAACACTTCTCAGTTTTATCAATAGTTTCTAAATAGTATCTCAAGATTCATGCCAACTGTACCGCAGAGAGGAAACTAACTTAAAGTTACACGTCTGCGTCAACCTGGTAATAACACTTAACATTTCAAAATAGTTCCGAATAAACCCCAAATGGCCTTAATAAACCCCAAATGGCCTTAATAAACGGTGTGTGCTGAGTCCAATTTGGATAAAACGGATGGCAGCCGTGTTCTTTTCAAACTGGATGTAAGTAGGGATGGTTCCGCCAAACAGCCTGATTGGGGTTGATGGAGGGCAATTTCATGCACAGCTACAACCGATATGGACATCCTTCTTACTCACTGCTTGAGACGTGTTGTGTGTCACGACCTGCAGGGGGTCTATGTTGAACCACGTGATCAGAACAATCACATTGATCAGCACTAGGACGGTGATTTGAGCAAACAGAGTCTTGTCGGCAACCTGAAAGGAAGGAAAATTATTGTGACGTTGGACGTTGTGCTCTCATGCAGACAAATAATCTGTGTCGCGTTTATGTCCTGTGTTAAGTCGCGCTTTGCAGATTTTACAACGTTATTTTCTATTTCAGTTCAGGTATTTGATGTGATAGAACTGAAACAGCAATTTGTAAATATCAATAAAGGAGATGTGTATCGATATCACTCCACTTTCATGACACTTACGCCCGCACCGATACATAAAATGCAGGGCAAAAGAAATTATACGCCCATGTTTGATGGTGGCTAAACATGAAAACACTTTTTTGAAAAAAAAACCAAGTCAGCGAGCCCGACCACCCGATCCCGTTAGTCGCCTTTTACGACAAGCATAGTCACCTTTTACGGCAAGCATGGGTTGCTGAAGACCTATTCTACCCCGGAATCTTCACGGGTCCAATATCAATGAAGTAGTCTTAAGGATGCATGAAATTAATGTTCGACCAGGATTTTTGTAGTCATTAAGTAAAATATTATGCTTCATTTGAATGAATTCTTGCAATAACAGAATGTTTTATAGGTTTCATAAAAAAACTTACCAAAACAATACTCTGTAGACTATAACATTTGTTATCAGAAATAAAAATATTTATGACAATTTTTGATAAATTGTCTTTTGATTTGTAATAACAAGGAGCCCAGATAATCTCGTCTTTTCAGAAACTGACTTGCATGTTGGTTGGTTGGTTGGTTTGTTGTATACGCCGCACTCAGCAATATTCCAGCTATATGACGGCGGTCTGTAAATAATCCAGTCTGGACCAGACAATACACGGAGTGATATCTTGAGCATCGATCCACGCAATTGGGATCGATGACATGCATCAACCAAGTCAGCGAGCCTGACCACCCGATCCCGTTAGTCGCCTTTTAGATATTAGACTAAATACTCCCGTGTGTTTAAAAAAAATTATACATTACCGTTTGACCTGGTTTTATTCTTCTAAATATAATGTGAACTCTCCACGTCTTTGCGAACAGAGCTCCAAATGCAAGAGAGAATCCAATGGCAATCACTATGTACCTCATCTGGAAAGGACATTGAAACAATCAATGTATATAGGTTATCCCGCGAGTGTGTTTTGGGATGGTAAATATCCCGAATTAGGAATATACATTGTATTTAGCGAGCCTTGGCGTAGGCCATCGGGTTTTCGTAACTATTATGCTTTACGTGATACTTTGTTATTAACGTTGGTCGATATGTCGATCTACTAGAAGAAGCGAAAGAGCAACACAAATAATTTCCGATCTTCCATTCAAATATTCCTCTCCTTGTCGTCAGTAAACCTGTTTCCTGGAAGATTACCTACGGGAACAGAACACCTGTTCTCCTTTAATAATCACGTTTACTTACAAAATCCTGGAGTAGGGCAGGATAATGAACATATTACGATTGCAATAGGAATACGTGAGCAATCATTTGCAATAATAATAATAATAATAATAATAAGGGAGTTATCATTTGACATAATAATAATAATGATACACATATACTGCTGTGTGAACAGGAATATTTCCAACAAAATTACGTTTGAGATAGTTCAGATTTATTTTCAGAGACAAACTAGTTATTTCTGACACTGCTTCAAGACATACACGTACTATTATTATCTTTGAAGGAGAATCCGGGTTTTGCAAGGAATCCAGTGTATCTTTGTAAGTTAAACGTTAAAACTTAAAGCTTATTTTTGAATATTGTTATGTGGAAGATTTTTGTTTAGAAAAACAAAAACAAATCGCATCGCCAATATACTTACATGGCAGAAAACAAGGTTTAAACCTTGCTCCGTCTCCTGGAAGAAGACAGAGCTATAGATGAGGATACATCCGAACAGGATGAGGGTGTTGATATTTGGAGACGACAGCTTCACTATCCTGGAATGACATGGTTTTCATTTAAATCATGTTAATATTGTGTGAATGAAGCAAGAGTGAGTGAGAGAGTTAGTTCCAACGTCGCCACGAACATTATTTCAGTTACATCACTGCATATTGGATTCGAACCCCCAGATCCAGTTACTAACAGTAACGTGTGAGACCAGTGCTCCCCCATCCCTGCCCCTCATACGTAGGCATTTAGGGTATGCAATCTTATTCAGTAACATGAACTTTAAACTTGGGTTAGACCAGGCTGGGCGTCATCCTACCCGTTGCTCATAATATCAACCAGTGAAGAACCAGAGTAGAATAGGTCTTCAGCAACCAATGCTTGTCGTTAGAAACGTCAGGCTCGCTGACTTGGTTGATGCATGTCATCATATTCCAATTGCATTGATCAATGCTCATGGTATCAATCACTGGATTGTCTGGTCCAGACTCGATTATTTACAGACTGCCGTCATATAGCTGGAATATTGCTTAGTGCGGTGTCAAACAAACAAGCTCATAATACCCATAAGTGGATTATTCCGCCCAGGCTCGAATATTTATATAATTAAAATGTATCAAATATTGCTTTAATGCTAAGTGAGACGTTACACAGCAAGCAAAATCCACCATGCTGTCAATTGTGAAAAATAGGCAGTATTCTTTTTTCTTGACTCGCATATTTCTCAAGGACGTATATGTTTTATATATAGACACACAACCACTCAATGGTTATGCTGCTTTCCAGCGTTCTCGTTCCAATAGGCACATCGATTTCATTCAATTACAACAAAAAGCCCTCTTCTCTTATCCACATTTTACACCCAGTACACTTAATACTCCAGTCACACCGACATAGACGTTAGTTGATCTTGCAGAGCTGTATGTAGCGTGAAGCTCAACCGACGGTAAGAGCGCTAGCAGCTCCACATGGAGTACAACTGTACAGCCAAACGGCGTTAAATTCAATTACGTAAAACGTGCTTTGACGGCGGGCGACGAAATCCAGAAGAACAGGATCTTTACCGAAACACCCATGAGATGTTACAGGGTTACAGGACTTAATTTACAATGTAGATAATACACCCAAGTTCAGAAAGTGCGGCGTTTGTAGGGTGACCTACATTGGGTTGAGCTTCGAAAGGACATGATCAATCAGTCATTCAGTCAATCAGACACATTTGCCCAACACCGATCATTAGTCAAGTCTTTTTCAACAACGTAGATATCAGAGCGCTTATGGGTATAACACGTCTCTCCCCAAACCAAGATTCGTGTCAGCGTGTGATCCTCAGTAGTATTCTTTCAGCTCGGTAGCGTTATAAATCAAATGGGCTATCATTCCTGCTAATACGGTTTGGGACTTCAAGACGGGTGATCTGATTATAAAATTGAGTGGAAACTGATATCAAGCAAGCGTTTCGTCATCTTCTTTTAGAGAAACGTTACAAAGTCATGTGCTTGCTTGTGCAAATGATATGGCGTGTAGTTTATCACGCACATGTATGAATAAAGTTAGAGGAGGGCCTCACAGCATAAAAATGATTTTTTATTTTTTATTTTCCGGCAATTCAATCATACTTAGGTAGACTGGATAGTTTTTACACAATAAATATATTGAGTATTGTTATGAATAATGTGTATCAGTTTAGACGTAAAAGGAATAAGATTTATATACTCCCGGGGAAAAGAAAGTTCACAAGTCTGGAAGTATTGGATTTGACCAATTACAAATTTTATCAAAACGTTACTTGGCTGAAATCAGTCACCAAAACACAGCCAACGTAATGTCCAACACACAACTATAACACCCGTATCAAATACATCACCATCGAAAAATCCTTTCTTTTTTGTTTAAATTTTAGTCAAACATGGTTGTATCCTTTCTCCCGCGTGGCAGTTTAATTGAAGCCTATGTATCCTCTGTAAAATCGGATTAAAACTTTAAACAGACACGTTTTCGTAAATTGGAAATGTCAACAAGTTCATTGTCGGTGTGTGTTTGAGTGTCTGAACCTGTCCTGAACATCTCTGATTTAATGGGGAGCACGGGTGGCCCAGTCGTCTAAGGCGCCGCGATTCGCAGTGCAGAGTTGCGTCCTTTAGGCACGCAAGAAACCTATGATTGTGGGTTCGAATCCCGGTTCACCCCGTGTCAGCACCATACCCGTGCTCGTGGGTTTCACCAAAGTGGTAAACGTCTGAGACCTGCATCACTTCGGGCTTTCTTCCCACATTAAGCTGACGCGCCGTGATATAACTGGAACAATGTTAAAAGCGGCGTTAAACCCAACTCACTCTACCAAATAAGCGATGGAAAGAATGTCCACAACCACAACATTTAATTCTGACATGTGTTGAATTTGTATGCGCGCTTTTTCAAATGTACTGAGAGAAAAGCTTGTACTGTTAAAAGCGGCGTTAAACCCAACTCACTCACTCACCCTATGATTTAATGGGCTCGATGACATCAGGGATGCTTTTTGACTTCACGTTACGTTATTAATCATTAATAGCGTAAGGCGAAAACAAATACTAAATAAAATCATTGCAACTGTTTACACGTAATCTGCCCATGTGGTTGTCACGTACACATGGCATAAACACCACAGTCAGGTCTGTCAGGACAAACGTGTTGCGAGGAGGCAGAGTGAGATTCAATTTCCTCTCTCATTAACAGCTTGTCTCTCAAACTCTTATTGGATGTTAAGTGTGCTGAGAATCACGCGACCCCCGTTTCCTGAGTTAACCGACACGAGAGTCACTGTTTTTGCCCAATCTTTGAGAGTTAAGCTGAGAATCAATGGAAAAAGTAATACACTTGTGAATAGAGATGTACAGATGTAACATAGAGGCCTATGTCAGAAAAAACCGCTGCCATTCCTTTAAGCCCTTAAGATAGAGCTGCGCAGTGCGCATTTAACCTCCCTTGGATGTTTGGGAATTACCATTTTGTCTTTATTGTTAACTTTATGTGATTATAATGGTGACTTTTTAGTTTGCAAAGCACGTTTCAATGTATTTAATCAAAGATAATGAATGAAATAAAAGTCGTCTATCAAACCAATCTTTTTTGCGTGTGTAATACTTCTTCGAACGCCCGCTGGACCACTAAATATTATCAAGGATGAAGCTGTTGAGCAGATACATTGCCAGTGAACTTAATTCTAAGACCATGGATTGTACGCTCTGAAGATTCAAATCCAGTAATGCTGTCCGATGACGTTTTCGTCCGTAAGATAAATCACAACACGGATATATGTTGTTACACAAAACCCAAATACCTTGAAATTGAGTTTCAGTGGGAAACGTTTGGATTACATTGTAGGCTATCTCAAGTACCGACACAACAACGAAAAAACAAATATTGTTGATTTGTTTTTTTGTTGAACCCCACGCCCTTAACTCGCTATTTATCTAGATGTCTCTCTCCCCTTCACTCACACTCCTTGATCTCTAACTGTCTTTCAATGGGATTAATATTCATCTTTGCTATCGCGGCTTTACTTGATACGAGAAGGTAATATCTCTTGTTCAAAAGGCTTTCTTCCACTGTCTTCGGGGCACAAAGTTTTCTCGTTAAAAACAACCATATTTTACCCCAAACACATTTTCCGTTTCTCATAGAAACGAACTTTTGACAAATAATTATGATCCTAAATTTTGTTTATTCATTCTATTTATTAAAACACGATTTTTGTGTTCTGTGGTTTTATTACCACGCTCAATGGATTAGTTTGCACTCGATTGTCATTCTCAGCTCCATGGGGAGTATAAACCCAAGCTGCCTTGCCGTCACTGGACAGGTAACAGTCACATTACAATGGCATCATACCGGGTAATATCTTCTACTGCTGGGTACACAGAGACATAGTTCTCACTTGCCTAGAAGACATCACATGTTTTTTAAAGGAAATTGAATTGTTTCATAAATTTTGATTATTTTTTGTATATAAATAAATTCACTTTTATAATTGTAGTATGAATCAATAACTGAGATTGTTAGTGGCTATATCCTCGAAGGGGGTTGAATTAGTGTACAGTTATGGTCCCCCTGAGATGGTATGTAAGACCACGTCTTTCAATGTATTTATTTATTTCTGCCACTTTTTTAATCGTAGTATATGTGTTCTTTTAATCTGGCTAAATTTGTCATTAATCACCAACATCTGAAGGGATGATGTAAATCCGGCTGAGGTCCATGCAGGTAGCAAAAGTACTGTAAGTCCCCATGGACCCTAGCATGGTGATCTACCTTCAGCTGCCGGCGAACTGTAGCCCTTTTTTATATTGTACTGTTTCATTTAGTGATGTCTTTTTATGGTTGAATGCTAGTTTTAAACATTAATCTGTGATATTCTAGTAGTTTTACTGTTTTATTTAGTTTAAATATATGTATTCCAAATGTATGACCTCTCGTCACGATATGGCTAAAATACTGCCGAAGTGACGTTGAAACATAACTCACTCACTCACTACATGTGTTTCAGTGTGGAGCAGGCCCGAAGACCGGTCAAGCTGATTTGTGAACTCTGCGAGGATAGCCTACAGGTTTAACGGATTATGTCCCAAGTTTACACATTCTTGAAGTTTCGAGCCTCCAGATCTCAACGTCATGTGTAGAGATATTCCGTAATGGCGAGTCGGTTTTTCCATACATTAACCAGTCACCAACAATCAAATTATTGTAAACAATTAAAACAACGGAACAATAGGCCAGATTATCCAAAATGGGCATAAAGCAAAACAAATTTTCTCATGGACACAAGAAACAATTTCACTGATGGCAACCATCCCGTGAGTACATGTATACATATACGGGGAATCCAAATGAGGATGTTTGATTTCCTTTGCATGGTGTTTCATGCCGCACACAGCGATATGAAGATCTGGGTTAGAATAAGTCTTCAGCAAGCCATGCTTGCCGAAAAAGGCGACTGTGCTTGTCGTAAGAGGCGATTAACGGGATCGGATGGTCAGGCTCGCTGACTTGGTTGATGCATGTTATCGTACCCAAATTACGTGGATCGATGTTCATGATGTCAATCACTGGATTGTCTGGTCCAGACTCGATTATTAGCTCACCGGGTCCGAAGGACCAAGGTGAGCTCATGCCATACCGTGGCGTCCGTCGTCCGTACGTCAACAATTTATTCAAACGACTTCTTCTGAACCACATATTGGAAATTAACGACATTTGACTGGAAGCATCCCCAGGGGATTCAAAATTGTACAAAAGGTGGGGTTGACTCCCCAAGGGGCTGAGTGGCGGGGCTAAATAGGGGTAATTTCGCAATATTGCATTAAACGACTTCTTCTCTGAAACTAAGAGATGGACATCAACCATAAGTTGGAAGTATTCCCAGGTGGTGAGAATTCATAATTGTACAAATGGAGGAGCTGCCCCCCCCCCCCAACCAGACTGAGGGGCGATGCTAAAAAGAGTTTATAACTTGGACACAGTTAAGAAGTTAGGATCACCACCGTATAACCCATATGTACAATTTCTGAGTATAATGTGAGGAATTCACATATGCTGCCAGGACTGGCCCTTCTGTCCATCTGTTCGGCACTCCCAAAGGAGTTGGAACCTTGAATATAACGTGCAAACCGATATTATCCCCACCCTATAATAAACAGATACATTGTATACATTTGTTTGTTATGAAGAGAATAATACATTTATGCATACATTTGTTTGTTATGAAGAGAATAATACATTTATGCCAACAGGATTCGCCCTGGGGTCCAGCCTTGCCTCTTGAAACTTAGATCCTGGATCATAACATGCAAACGGTTCAGATCTTTATGCTACATTTGTATCTAGAGAAATACACGTTCATGCTGTCAGATTTGCCATCCACCTATTTTAAATGCTGACAGAGTCAAAATTACGAAATATTTGCAGTTTATATACATGTACAATGCAAATGTATATTTTGACATGATTGCGTAAATATCCAGGTGAGCGATACCGACCGCCCTCATATAGCTGGAATATTGCTGAGTGCGGCGTTAAACAACAAACAAACAAACAAAACTCAGCGATATTCCAACATTATGACGGCAAGCTGTAAATAACTTTCTGGACCAGAAACTCCAGTGATTGACATCACATCATTGACATTGACAGCAACGATACACGCTGTCGGTGTACGAAGTGACATCATCAACAGTCAGCGAGCCTGACCACCCATCCATCCTTTTAGTAGCATCTTAAGACCGACAGAGGTTAATTACTGGGGCCAGTTCTAATCCAGGACTCCCATAGGGGCAAGGAATCGTTGATGTAATATATGTTCACCTGGCTTCTCGATGTCTGATGTTAAAGATGAGGCAGCAGATGACGAGGACGATGCCGGCTGAGGCGAGGACGGACAGGGAGATGTAGAGGTCCATACTGATGAACTCAGGCGAGAGGATGAGCAGCGTGCTATCTCGGGGGAAGTATCTACCTGGCGGAATAGGACACTGTTAGACGACAATGTTAGACGACAATGTTAGACGACAATGTTAGAAGACAATGTTAATAGAACAGTGTTCGAGGGCACTGTTAGACGACAATGTTAGACGACAATGCTATAGACGACAATGTTAGAAGACAATGTTAGACGACAATGTTAGAAGACAATGTTAGACGACAATGCTAGACGACAATGTTAGAAGACAATGTTAATAGAACAGTGTTCGAGGGAACTGTTAGACGACAATGTTAGAAGACAATGTTAGACGACAATGTTAGACGACAATGTAAGACGACAATGTTAGACGACAATGTTAACAGAACAGTGTTCGCGGGCACTGTTAGACGACAGTTAGAAGACAATGTTAGAAGACAATGTTAGAAGACAATGTTAGGCGACAATGTTAGACGACAATGCTAGACGACAATGTTAGACGACAATGTTAACAGAACAGTGTTCGAGGGCACTGTTAGACGACAGTTAGAAGACAATGTAAGACGACAATGTTCGCGGGCACTGTTAGGCGACAATGCTAGACGACACTGTTAGACGACACTGTTAGAAGACAATGTTATACGACAATGTTAACAGAACAGTGTTCGAGGGCACTGTTAGACGACAGTTAGAAGACAATGTTAGACGACAATGTTCGAGGGCACTGTTAGGCAACAATGTTAGGCGACACTGTTAGACGACAATATAAGACAACACTGTTAGACGACAATGTTAGACGACACTGTTAAACGACAATCTCATACAGCGCTGTTGGGCGACATTGTTAGACGGCACTGTTAGACGAATGTGTTAGACGACACTGTTAAACGACAATGTCATACAGCGCTGTTGGGCGACATTGTTAGACGGCACTGTTAGACGAATATGTTAGACGACACTGTTATACGACAATATGCATGTCATACAGCGCTGTTGGGCGACATTGTTAGACGGCACTGTTAGACGAATATGTTTGACGGCACTGTAAATGGGCAATGTAAGACGGCACTGTTAGGTGATATTATAATTTCAAAAGGAACAGAGAAGACGACAAAGGCCATAGAGTTACGGGGAGTTATGAGTTAGCTACCCGAATGTATGAGTGTGTGAGTGTGTGAGTGTGTGAGTGTGTGAGTGAGTGAGATGGGTTTTTACGCTTTGAACAGTATTTGTAATAATACGGCCGCTGTGGTTGAAGTGAGGCATGTCTCAGACATTTACCACTTTGATGAAACCCATGAGTATGGTGCTGACAAACCTAGAAACATAATCGGAGAGAACGGGGATTCAAACCCACGATCACATGTTTTTAGCGTGCTCAAGGGACGCAACACTGCACACCATGCGTACGAATACATATTATGTTTGTTTGTTGTTTAACGCCGCACTCAGAAATATTCCAGCTATATGACGGCGAGGATACATTTTAAGGTTTCATATTAAGGTTTCAGAGACCCATCAAATGAAAGTTATTTCTTGATAAAGAGATTAATCTGTTGCTTTTGTGCGAAAGCCGCCTTTTCAAACAGACATTCACTTGTAAACACGTTCATACGGTACAGCAAACCTAGACAGTAGAAACGTGATTGCTCTCGCGTGTTAATTGACAGGCAGACATGCCCCCGAGCACTGCTTCCTAAGAAATGAAATAGGCTTTGAAAACGCGTCTTTGCTCGTTGTGTGTGGTCACCAAGTACACCATACGCCCTCACTTAAAGGTTCCAGCAATTCGTCTTTGTCCGCCAACATGAAGTTGTTGCCATAATAGAATCAGGACCGGATCATACACCACGCATGCTAGATGTAGATGTGTTGTTATACCTTGGCATATGGTTGTGACGGGTGTCGCAGGTATGAGCCGGTACGTTCAATCTTTTCGCGAACACCTTGCATTATCACTATTTGATAGTGGTTCTTAAAAACATGCTTATGATATAGTTAGAATTGTACAATGGACAATGCTTTTGATTTCTTGTAATTATGAAATGGTTTTATCGCTTTTATTTGTTTGTTTGTTGTTTAATGCCACACTCAGCAATATTCCAGCTATATGACGGCGGTCTGTAAATAATCGAGTCTGGACCAGACAGTCCAGAGATTGACATCATGTGTATCGATCCACGCAATTTGGAAACGATGACATGCATCAACCAAGATCATGTTCAAGATCATTTATTAACTTTTGAAACATTTCGTACAAGCTCTAAACCCTAAAAATATGATCTTGGTGACTACTCCTTTCAGACTACGAACACATTGCCGAAGAACAGATGCACGGACATTCAGAGGGATAAACATGCAACGTAAAAGACTCAACGCCCACTCTTTAGACAATTTACAAAATACCATATATTTTTTTGACAGGATTCTATTTTTTCAGATTCGACGTAGAGATGTACTGCTAGGTGATGCTTATCACGACGCCCATTTTGAGCACTGGCATCAGCTCGATGAGCACTGACCTTTATGTCCAAAGTAGGGCTTCTCAATGATCATCATCTTGTCTCTGTCAGGGTAGTAGACAGCTGTCATGTGCATAACTCCGTCTGAAACGTTATTCGCATTTGCTGCATATAAATGTACTCCTCCCTGGTGAATAGTATCACTTTAAACATTCAAAGAACCATTACATACATCAGTGGTCCTATAGCCTATACCTTAATGTAGATATACATGTAAGATCGCTTGAGTGATGCTAAAGTATGCATCTTCATCAGAGTGCTGACATTTGACATATGATAGCGTCTCTGATTACTGTTTTCGAAAATGCAAACTCAATTGACAATACTACACACTGACACTGGTTGAAATATCCGTGACATGTTTGACAATAATAGCAATCAACGATCAACATTACCTATCATTTGATCAACTTTCAACAGCGTGACCAAGTCCCCACTCTCATCAAAACGGATCTTTCCTTTCAGGCCGCCAAATGAAAGATTCCTAAAGCTTTCGTAGATGGTTCGACCAGTGAGCCAGTTATCGTAGTTGAAGGAGCCAAGGCTGTCCCCTGTAAGTGATGACAATAGACAGCGTGATATAAATGGAGACTACTACACGAGTTCTCGTTTGGTATCATTTTACAAAACGAGAGGACATTCTACGGCACATAATGAGAGACGTCAAGAGATGACACTTAAGAAATCACGAGTTTTGTAATGGTATCCAACGAGTGTGGTGTTTTAGTATTATACGTGTTTTGACATTTCTTTGCATCGGCAACGATCAACATCTTTATTTCATTTTTACCTCGTGCTTTTTGGGGGTTAACGCCATGCTCAGCAATGTTCCAGCTATAAGACGTCAGTCTGCAAACAATCATTTCAGGACCAGACAATCCATTGATTGGGATACGATGTCAAAGTCACTGAGCCCCACCACCCAATGCATTGAATCACCGATTACGACCAGCATTGACTGCTGGTGACCTTAGATCTGATCCAGATGTAACGGGTGTAACTGATGATATTGACCTATATTGATAGGTGTGTGTAGGCAAAACTACGGAAGCCTTTTGGAGCCATTTGTTTTTTTATAATTTTCTTCGATACTATCTTGAAATTTCAAGATACTAAGTTGAAATTTCAAGATACTAAGTTGAAATTTCAAGATAATAAGTTGAAATTTCAAGATAATAAGTTAACATCCTAAGATGTAAAAGTACGTGAATAAGTGTGTGATCTTGAAATATCAAGATCCTACGGAAACCTTTTAGGGCCATTGTTTTTTATAAAAAAAATTATACTATCTTGAAATTTCAAGATACTAAGTTGAAATTTGAAGATACTATCTTAAAATTTCAACTTCTATATCTTGAAATTTCAACATGGTATCTTGAAATTTCAAGATAGTATCGAAATAAAAACAAAAACAAATAGCCCTAAAAGGTTTCCGTACAAAACTGTAAGAACACCTAAAAAGTAAAAATCTCTGCTCTTTGAATCACGGCCGTACAAATGTTCATTTACAACGCCGGAATACCCGCTGAACAACCACCATGTTCGGTTTTCGGTTTTCTATGTTGATAAAATGAAATCACTGTTATGGCAAAGAGTTTCATGAGAATTGTACCACAATAAAGGGAGGAAGTGAAATGATATCAACAAACCCCAATTTGCTCAGATGCACACTACTGCCTAGAAGTTCATTCCCTTTAAAAACAAGCGAATCGCGTGACGCAACCCGTTGGTCGTTAAAGTACTCATGGAAATGAAAAAAACCCTTTATTTTGCTGGATTTAATAATCGACACAAAGCATTACGTAGATGTAAATACGAAATAACAAAACAACTGGAAAAGTACTAGTCTGGATTTGCTAGTTTTATCTCAGTGCTCAATACAAAATGTAGTTTACAGGAGGTAATCTGTAGGCACTTTCAACATTCAAAAATAAAACTCATCCCAAATTGGCATGGCAGAAACAGGCTATGGGCATTATGCAAATTAGCCTGGAAAAAAAGTGATCAAAACAACAATAAAAATAACAGCTATGTTTATGTACATAATAATAATAACATGTAAGTTGTTGTTTGAGAAGGGAATTTGTTACTTTTACGTTCTGATATTTTGACGATGATTCACTATCCCACAATGCCACTCACAAATCACTAACCACTGACAAATCACATGCACGTGGGTTTCAAGCACCTGTTTTCACCTGTCCTCATGGTGTCATAGGTCATGGACATTCACCTTGATCTACTAACACCTGGTTATGCTCAGTTTCAGAATATTCTGTTTTGTTCATATTTTTACACACATTTACGTGTAAAAAGACATAAAAACCTTTGATACGCTGTATTTGTGCCAAGGCCAAATTAGTACTAATTTAGTTGTTTGAATATTTATATATTTTGTATATTAACTGCATTTATTTAAAATCTGTGATAAAAAAAGAAGTTTTTTTCATTTCCGTGAGTACTTTAGTGTGTAACCTGTCCGCTATGCGTGTTACCTTCCATCTTAACGCGTGAAAGGGGAATGAACTTCTAGTCAAGGCAGAACTCTATTGAGCTGGTGACAGCTGCACACGCTGAAGACGTCACAGTGACTGTCACATAAGAACAGATGACTATGTGATGATTTGTTTGTTTGTTTGTTGATTAACGCGGCACTCAGCAATATTCCTTTAGTGACAGCGGTCTGTAAATAATCGAGTTTGGACCAGACAATCCAGTGATTGACATCATGAGCATCGATCACCGCAATTGGGATACGATTTCATGCATCAACCAAGTCAGCGAGCCTGACAACCCGATCCCGACAATCTATTTATATTGCAATCTTTATGTTTCAAATATATATGTAAACCTAGGGGTCGCTTTTATGTGCATTTGTAGATTTTTAAAAAGCTTTCGATTATGTGGATAGAGAAAAAAAATTATATTTACTTCTTACCATAGGATGTCATGGGAAATTGTTTCTAGTTCTAAAAAATATGTATTCATCGGTAAAGGCTTGTATCTAAACACAATCTGGTAGAACACAGTGCTTCTTAACATTTAGTGTTGTACGCCAGGGATGTATATTAAGTCCAGTTTTGTTTATGTTATTCATTTATGATTGTTTGTTTGTTTGTTTGTTGTTTAACGCCGCACTCAGCTATATTCCAGCTACATAGTTGTAAATGACGGCGGTCTGAAAATAATCGAGTCTGGACCAGACAATCCAGTGATTAATATCATGAGCATCGATCTATGCAATTGGGTTCGATGACATGCATCAACCAAGTCAGCGAACCTGACCACCCGATCCCGTTCGTCGCCTTTTACGACAAGCATAGTCGCCTTTTACGGCAAGCATTGGTTGATGAAGACCTATTCTACCCCGGAATCTTCACGGCTCTTTTCATTCATGAGCTCGTGACAGAAATATATAACGAATGTCATCATGGTGTGTTTGTCACACAAGATATTAGAATTTAATGCGACTTCTATTTGCTGATGATATTATTATGTTTTCATACTCTGTTAATGGTCTACAGGAACAATTGTTTTAAGAAATGGAGGTATCATTGCCAAAAATGAAAAATGGACATATAGTAATATCGCCTAAGAATTTTTACTCACTATAAATATTTAGGCTTGACGCTATCATCTTAACTATCATAGTCAGTTGCGTGCAGTCAACTAGCATCGCAAGCATCAAAAGCAATTATACCTATCTATAATTTGTTCAAACAAAATACACATGTATCCTTTTCTACAGCTTGTACTATATTTGACGGCAAAATAGCGCCAATCTTGCTGTATGGAGCAGAAATATGGGGCGCAAAATATAATGACTCTATTGAAAAAGTTCATGTTTCCTACTTAAGGCGCTTTTTAATCTTTGGAAAATATGCTTCTAACAAAGCTATTTTAGATGAAACAGGACGTTATCCCATTCATGTATGAATTCATTCAACTTCGAATGACAAAATATTGGTTAAAAAAATGAGGATGGAGCCGCAAAGATATCCTTACCAATGTTAGAAACTACTGAAAGCTCTTGATTCCTTTGTGTGGATATCCCAAGATGTAGGGATACACATTTGTTCTTATAATGTTTTAAACAAAGGTTACAATTTATGTATAGTCAAAACTGGCACGATAGTATATCTTCTCGTTTCCTTAGCCATTACAAGGATATCAAGTCTGTTTTTGAACCAGAGAAGTATATAAGTATGTTAGATGATAAATCGCTTGTTAGGGCATTAAGTAAATTCAGAGTGTCATTACACAATTTAAATATAAAAAATAAGAATATATTTTTAAAAATTCACGGAACAATTGAAATATATCTTCCTGTTTATGTGAATTACGTGCACTGTGTTATAATGACCCGAATACCTGCTAACAATAGATTCATTGCATGTTAAGCTTGTGGTACGAGACGTCTGAACATATGGGGCTCGGTGACTTGGTGATTGGTGTTACTGTACCCAACGACGTGGGACGTTGCACATAATGTCACTGGTTTGTCTGGTCAGATTTCATTACCGTTAGTATGACATGCTACAGCTGGACTATTGCTGAGTGGGGCCTTCCAACAAACAAACGCATAAATGACACCATTCCGGGCTAATATTTTCATCTAGACTGTAGGTCGCCAAGAGCATTATCTTACAACACTCAAAGGCGGTGGGATAGCCTTGTGGTTAAATGACCCGGGTTCGATTCCCCCCATGTACAATGTGTGAAGCCCATTTCTGGTGTTCCCCGAACAGAGATATTGCGTGAATATTGCTAAAGCGGCGTAAAACAATATTCATAATACTCACTCACTCTGATTGTAAAAAGTAATTGATGAAATGTTGTGTCTATATTTTACGAATCAAAAGAAAACCAATGTTAGAAATGTGCTTCGACGTTATCGTCCCCTGAATGACACTTGACAAGATACATAAAAGGCGAGTCAATCTTAAGCAAAATCAATTGATAAAATTACCCCTTTGCACGAGTCTCTTTTCTGCCATGTCTAATGCCAGAGCGAGAGCCCAGACCGAGTCATACGCCTGGGCGGCTGTCTTCTGACCATGGTCCGACCGATTGGCGTTGCGTATCCGAAATGATTCGAGAAAGTCAAAACCGCTAATCTGAGCTGCATCCGTGGCTTTTGAGCGTAGAATGAACGTCTCCCCAACTCGGAAGTGACCATTGATGGCCTTAAGTAATTGCTGCTTGCTACATCCGGAAGTATCGTAGGCCTTCTCCCACCATCTGTCATCGAACCAGCCCAAAATAAACCACACGTATTTCGGCCCATATAACCCTTGCTTGTATATCTGAAATGAAAGTGAAGACAAACCAAAAGTAATCAGCACATCGTCGATGCAGCACGGATGGCCCTAATGGCTTATCCTAAAAATAAAATGGGTCATTGGTGTACATGTACGCCCGCTCTTAAAACATCGAAGCTGCGGGATATTCTCGTTTCTGTGCTTTTGGTTAATGTAAGTGAGTTGGGTTTAACGCCGCTTTTAACAGTATTCCAGTTTTATCACGGCGTGTCAGCTTAATGTGGGAGGAGAGCCCGAAGTGATGCAGGTCTCAGACGTTTACCACTTCGGTGAAACCCACGAGCACGGATATGGTGCTGACAAACCTAGAAACATAATCGGGGGAACCAGGATTCGAACCCACAATCATAGGTTTCTGGCATGCCCATTTGGTTAATGTACAACATTTACATAGTATACATGTGTGTTAATTGGAAGTGGTTATGCAATAAGTAAAATAGATAAATTAAGTTTTCTGTTTGAAAGACACGACAGTCATTATGAATAACATGTGACAACGTTGTCTAGAATTGTATTATTGAGACACTGGCAGCTTGGTAGTTTGGAACACCATCAATGGTAGTTTGGGAATGACAGTTGCTATTCTGGAATAGGTCTGGCGTGTTGAAGATACTGCTTTTGTTCGTAAGGAATCCCATAAGGGCGGCGACGCAATTATTTATTATCTTGAAAATCAAGTTTTTATCTTGAAATGATTTTTTTTAACAATTCACGTTCCTTAAGCAACATCGCTTAAAACAGAAAGTGAAGCGTTGGGAGGTTCTAAATCATTTGCTGAATACAGTTTATCTTGAAGTGTACAATTTATATCTCGAATTTCAGAGACAGCAATTTTAATTTTCAACTTATGTTTAATAAATTGTCAAGACTTTTTCTTGCATTTTTAGGATATTATCTTGAATGCTCCACTTTGTATCGTGATATTTCGAATAAGTATCATGTATTTTCAGACTAATAAAACAATGGCGTGGCCTTGAAAGACGTCTGTATTTTCCATATATCTTTTTCACAACACATTTACAATTGTTTAGGGCATCTGGTATGTCAAGAGAACAGTTCTTTTGGACACCTGAGACAAAATTGTTTATTTTATATAATTCAGATATATTTAAAAAATGGAATAATTGTGAAATTGTGATATTTGTCTGTGGGTAACGTAAAAGTGGTTGTAGCATCAAAAGCTGCTGTAGAATGTATATATCTTACCTCACAAAAGACGTTGAAAATCGTTTCTTCGTAAAAGCTAGCAAATATTATTCTTGCATCATGTTTCTGAAAAAAATACAAAAATAAGAATAACAAGTACTTTGTTTCCCGTGAAGATCCGGGGTAGATTATGTCTTCAGCAACCCATGTTTGCCGTAAAAGGCGACTATGCTTGTCGTAAGAGGCGAATAACGGGATCGGATGGTCAGGCTCGCTGACTTGGTGGAAGCATGTAATCGATCTCAATTGCGTGGATCGATGCTCATGGTATCAATCACTGGATTGTCAGGCCCAGACTCGATTATTTACAGACCGCCGTCATATAGCTGGAATATTGCTGTGCGGCGTTAAACAACAAACCAACCAACCAACTCAGCTTTTCCTCACACATAGAATCATTCACTTCCTTAAAAAGAAGTTAGTTGGATGTTAATGATAACATCCCTTCCTGTAATAATATCCTGAATCCCGGTAGTTTCAAACATTAATTACATTAAAAATTATGCTGAAAATGAATGTACAGTCATGTGCGGTTATAATGCCACCCTGGATATAATGCCATATACGAAAGGTGGCATTATAACCAGGCAGGACGTACTTGTTCTATGCTATCAACACATGATCACAGACACAATATCTATCATTGGAAGAAAAAATACTTTCCAAACATGCAAAAGACACGGAATAACTGCCCATTTAAAGTTTCCCAAAGTACAAAAACCGATCACCCACACGTATAATAAGGAATACAATCATGTATCGGGTTTCAAAGAAAACTTCCTTCCCTTCAAGACCATCGACAAATCTCTAGACAGTTCCACAACCTTAAAACATGTCCATCTTTCCAAGATTTTGAAATATGGTAGTTTCGTTTGTACATAACTTACTTCCGGGTTAGAATAGGTCTTCAGCAACCCATACTTGCCGTAAAAGGCGACTATGCTTGTCGTAAAAAGCGACGAACGGGATCGGGTGGTCAGGCTCGCTGACTTGGTTGATGCATGTCATCGATCCCAATTGCGTGGATCGATGCTCATGACGTCAATCACTGGATTGTCTGGCCCAAACTAGATTATTTTACAGACCGCCGTCATATAGCTGGAATATTGCTGAGTGCGGCGTTAAACAACAAACCAACCAACCAACATAACTTACTTCCAAGAGGAAACTTTGTAAATGTGTGGAGAGTGATCACATTTGTCCAGCAGTTAATCATACAATAAACACTCGACCAGAAACTAGTAATTGGTAAATTAAGATCAATGCGCCTTAACGTGCCCACTCCGTTAGCATGTATCGACAGGGTTCTGCAGCACTTTTATCCTTTTGTTTTAGTTATTGATTGTTCCCAACACAGTCCTATTCAGAAAGACGAGGGATCTAGCTGCAGGTTGACAGCGCTTGCACCGACCTCTACGTTCAGACGCCAGCTTGGAGATGAACTCGAGTCCCCGCTTTACAATAAAACAAATAGCAACGCTCTATCAATCTTCGCTAAATGTGACATTTAGAATTATTTCTTTCATTTTCCGTGGGAATTCAACAATATATCAGCGGAAATTAAATGTACCTCCGCGCCCTCTCTGCCCTGTCACTTTATGGATGAAGTATTAACGTGCAAGTTTCATGGGTATATACAACTTGGCAGAATTGGACAGATCGTATAACATCGTTTATGCAAATGTCGTATTCAAAACATCGAAAACGGCGCACTTTTAGTCCTGTGTATCAATTTCAATGGCTGAAACGAAAATACAACGGAGGTGGAGATAGAGGCCCTATATATGGTCATGGTGAGGGTGATTTCCTCCAAAATTACGCGCTTGATTGCACAAGCCCAACCCTCCTAGCAAGCGAATCTCCGTTTATGGTCAAGTTAGTCTGCATACTTTCTCAGCGAAAGCAAACCTATTCTTCGCCCTTTTTAATCCTTAGACCTTATCCTATCCACAATAAAAACATTTAAAAAAAAATTGTTCTCTTTCTTTCAGCAACGGAAATGTGACAAAGGCCTTTAATATCACAAATTTGGTTTACTATTCTGTGCGAAAGTGTGCGAAACATGCCATTTCTTCAATTGCGATTATTGTTCACGTTTCGTTACTTTCATTTCTTTTGTTGTGAGACTTTCCTTTGTTTAAAATCTGGTGATCTGTGTGTAAACGGATGAAGCATCGATCGTATCTCCTTCGTTCCTGTTTGCCGTATCGCAAACCCAAATCGATCATAATTTGCCAACTCTGACAGTGACGATCGTTTTCGAGTTTTCATGGAGTGAGTGAGTGAGTTGGGTTTAACGCCGCTTTTAACAGTATTACAGTTATATCATGGCGTGACACTTAATGTGGGAGGAAGGCCCGAAGTGACGCAGGTCTCAGACGTTAACCACTTCGGCAAAACCCACGGGCACGGGTATGGTGCTGACAAACCTAGAAACATAATTGGGGCGAACCGGGATTCGAACCCACAGTCTGATTTCTGGCGTGCCCAAGGGACGCAATTCTGCACAGCGAATAGACGACTGGGCCACCAGTGCCCCCGAGCTTTCATGGAATATCTCAGAAGGTGAATTAGTAATTTCGGTGGAAAAAGTAACAGTGAACCCCTATAATGTAATACATAAAAAGGTGAAAATATTTTTTTAAACATTCATTACCTTAACTTATTACCCAAAACACGATTGTGTTATTTGAGAAAAATCATCAGAGGGAGCCACCCTCTGTCCTAGACTGGTGTGCCTGTCCTAGAGCGCTTGCGCTCCTCGCCTGCAGCCGCTAGGGGCCGAAAGGCAGGGTACCAGTCTAGCTCCTTCCGACCTATTTCCCCATCCAGTATCCTGCGGTGAAACGTTGACCCATTTAACGGAATCTGCCTGTTGAGAGGGACGGGGACATACCACTATGCATATCACTATGCGGGAAACGTTCCGAGGTATTATCACTTTTGAAAATGTGAATAATTGACTTGTCAGCTACATAAGTTGTTTGTTTATTGTTTAACGCCGCACTCAGCAATATTCCAGCTATATGACGGCGGTCTGTAAAATAATCGAGTCTGGACCAGACAATCCAGTGATTAACATCATGAGCATCGATCCACGCATTTGAGATCGATGCCATGCATCAACCAAGTCAGCGAGCCTGACCACCCGATTCCGTAAGTCGTCCCTCACGACAAGCATAGTCGCCTTTTACGGCAAGCATGGGTTGCTGAAGATCTAGACCTGCTCTACTCCGGATCTTCACGGGTCGGCTTCATAAGTAAATAAGTAGCCATATTAGCATTGGGGAGGTGACTCTCATAGAGAAGTATGGTTCATGGTTAAAAAATACCCGCACTCACAACATTTTGCGTTTCAATTTTAACAATTAGCATGTTTCCACTGATTTTGTTCATTATCAAATAATATTAGAAGAATGTAACAAATACATTAAACAATAGTCATCAGAAAGATGACATATCCCCCCCCCCCCCCCCCCCCCCCCCGGCAGCTGTCTGTAAAGTAACCACTAGTAAATGTGCAATTCTCTATGTAATGAGTCAACAGTTGAATGTTCTTTAAGAAGCATACATTGTTTACCCACTGAATGGTTTGCGAATTCTGGCCCGGAAACGAACCCCATCCCCAATTGAGTCTATGTCCAACTTCATTCCTAATAAATTTAAAAAATTAAAATTAGAAAAATCCCAAAATATCAAAAGGCACCACTTAAGTATGTGCCTGATAGCGTTGCCAAGTTTCGATCAAATACACTGAATGGTTTTGGAATTCTAACCCGGAAACGAACCCCATCCCCAATTGAGTCTATGTCCAACTTCATTCCATAAAAAAATAAAATTAGAAAAATCCCAAAATATCAAAAGGCACCACTTCAGTACGTGCCTGATAGATTTGCCAAGTTTCGATCAAATACACCCAATGGTTTTGGAATTCTGCCCCGGAAAAGGAAATGATTACGGAGGGACAGACGGACGGACTGACAGACTGGCTTATCGCTATATCCCCCCGCATTATATGCCGGGGGGATAAAAAAATAATTATTAAAAATATTTACAACTTTACCAAGTTATATAACTGATTTTAAATCAGGCGGTGGTGTAGCCTAGTGGTTAAAGCGTTCGCTCGTCACGCCGAATACCCGGGTTCGATTCCCCACTTGGGTATAGTATGTGAAGCCCATTTCCGGTGTCCCCCGTCGTGATATTGCTGGAATATTTCTAAAAGCGGCGTAAAAACATACTCACTCACTCAACACCCATGTTAAATCAAGGTTACTCGACACGCCCCCACTAGCCACACTCTTGACATACATCGTTGTTGTTGCTTAAAGTGTTTAAAAGGTCGCCCTCTGTTTTAGCAATTTCGGCTCACCTGCCCCTCTTTGGAATCATGTGTGTGAGTAGGGTACAGAAATCTATTGGGAGTTTCAGTATCGAAAAAATATCTGTGTTTGTTTTGATATGATTTCACATTTTATTTCTGGAAATAGAATTTCTTTGGCTGCTCTTTTGAAAAACGTTCGAGTGGCTGACCATCTCTCTGTTAGAGGCGTAAGATGGCTACTTCAACTTTCCTTTCATTTGAGTATGTGTATGGCTCCGGGGTTGAATCACACATACACGGAATCGATACCGGTATTGCATACACAACACAGGTTTCCGCACAACTTATGAAACGATCGCGTGAATAATGTACCCTGCTGATGGTAATACCAAATCAGCTTGCAGGCCTAGACCGCCGTGCGAGTCAAGCTACACCTGGTTAGCGCTTTTAAGTTTCGTGTGGGTTGTACAAATACAGACCTAAAAATGCTCTTTTATTTAAGCGCAACAGCGCTAAGTTAACATTTTCACAATGTTTTCCACGTGCACGGTATTCGTATTGTCTGTCACGCAATTGGGATACGATGACATGCATCAACCAAGTCGGCGGGCCTGACCACCCGATCCCGTTAGTCGCCTTAACGACAAGCATAGCCACCTTTTACGGCAAGCATGAGTTGCTGAAGACCTATTCTACCCCGGAATCTTCACGAATGTGGAGAAGTCTATGGTAATATTGCAAT